TGGCAGACATTTCTCCAACATCTGTCTGCACCCGCTGTGTAGCCGGCACATAAATGTCAGCCCAGATGAAGGGAGCCCAACATTTTGCTGGAAGGGGCCTCTCTGCGCAGATCGGGGCTGAGTTCCCCCACTGAAGTCTCTCTCTCTTTCTCTCCATCCCTCCATCTCCCTCTTCCTCTCTCTCTTTCTCTCTTTCTTTCCCTTTCTCTCTTTCTGTCTCTCTCTCTCTCTTTCTCTCATTTCTCTCTCTTTCCCTTTGTGCCTCTCTTTCTCTGTCTTTATCTCTCTCTCTTTCTCATTCTTTCTCTCATTTCTCTCTCCCTCCCTCTCTTTCCGTCTCTGCCTCTCTCTCTCTTTCTCTCTCATTTCTCCCTCTCTCCCTCCATCTCCATCTTCCTCTCACTCTTTCTCTCTTTCTTTCCCTTTCTCTCTTTCTCTTTCTCTCTCTCTCTCTCTCTCTCTTTCTCTTTCTCTCATTTCTCTCTTTCCCGTTGTGCCTCTCTTTCTCTGTCTCTTTCTCTCTCATTCTTTCTCTCATTTCTCTCTCCCTCTCTTTCTTTCCCTCTGCCTCTTTCTGTCTTTCTCTTTCTCTCATTTCTCCCTCTCTCCCTCCCTCTCTCTCTGCCTCTCTCTGTGTCTTTATCTCTTTCTCTCTCTTTTCTCTTTCCCTCTCTCTCTTTCTTTCTTTTCTTTCTTTCTTTCTCTCATTTCTCTCTCCCTCCCTCTCTTTCCCTCTCTGCCTCTTTCTCTCTCTCTCTTTTCTCCCTCTCTCCCTCCCTCTCTCTCTGCCTCTCTCTGTCTTTATCTCTTTCTCTCTCATTTCTCTTTCCCTCTTTCTTTCTATTCTTTCTTTCTCTCATTTCTCTCTCCCTCCCTCTCTTTCCCTCTCTGCCTCTTTCTTTCTGTCTGTCTGTCTCTCTCTCTCTCTCTCTGTGTCTTTATTTCTCTCATTCTTTCTCTCATTTCTCTCTCTCCCTCCCCAATTCCCCACCCCACCCCTCTTTTCTCCCCAGGCAGCCTGGTCAGCTTGCCCCGAGCATGGCTTGCTGATGGTCCAGGCATTTTGGTACAGCCGCAGCCGGACTCTTGCTGGGCCAGATGGCGACGGCCAACAAAGGTGAGTGCGGTCACTTGGGGGTGCGGAAAGGGTCACCGGCCAGCATCCCTTTGAGCCAGACACACCCTGAGACCCCCCCCCCCCATTTTTCCCTTTGGGGTGAAGGCAGGAAGGTTGTCTGATGTGTTTCGGATTCACAAAGCTGCTCATTTCCCAGATTAGCAGAGTCGGAAGGGACCCTAGAGGTCTTCTAGTCCAACCCCATGCTCAGGCAGGAGACCATGGACCTTTTCAGACAAATGCTTGTCCAATCTGTTCTTTAAAATCTCCAGTGATGGAGCATCCACAGCGTCTGGTGGCCAGCTGTTCCACTGGTTAATTGTTCTCGCTGTCAAGGAAATTTCTCCTTATTTCTAGGTTGGTTTTCTCAATTAGTTTGCTGCTTCTGCTGCCTTCGGGTGCTTTGGAGAGTAAGGTGACCCCCTTTTCTTCTTTGTGGCAGTCCCCCCCAAATACTGGAAGGCTGCTGTCATGTCCCCCTAAGTCCTCCTTTTCTCCAGACTGGCCAAACCCAAATCCTGCATCCATTCTTTGTATCTTTTAGCCTCCAGCCCTCTAAGCCAGCGGTCTTCAAACTCGGCCCTTTGATGACTTGTGGACTTCAACTCCCAGAATTCCTCAGCCAGGCACGCGTGCCTGGCTGAGGAATTCTGGGAGTTGAAGTCCACAAGTCATCAAAGGGCCAAGTTTGAAGACCCCTGATATGGACTTTAAGAGGAGTGGACTTCAACTCCCAGAATTCCTCAGCCAGCGTGAGGAATTCTGGGAGTTGAAGTCCACAAGTCATCAAAGGGCCGAGTTGGAAGACCCCTGCTCTGATCATCTCTGTTGCTCTTCTCTTTTAAATTCAGCCTTAAAAGCCTTAGTTGCCCCCTTCCAAGTTGGAGCATGGGTCTTGTGGTCCAGAAGGAGCTCAGCTTTCTGGATTGAGATACCTGTTGCCATGGTGAGGGGGCGGGAGCATCCTTTAGGTCCTTCGGTGTCAAAGAGGGCTGTTTGGAGAAGGTAAAGCTGCACCCAGAGATAATTCCTATAAAGGAGAATATTTGTAGCTGGGGGTTGAAATGAGGGTGGTCCTTGGTGCTCTCTGAAACCTTGGTGGTTTCCTTGCAGACATTTCATGACCCAAGTAGGGAACATCATCAGTGCTAGAAGGGAGTGGTGAGGGAGGAAGAAGAGGAGGAGAAGAAGAAGAAGAAGAAAAGAAGAAAGGAAAGAAAGAAAGAAAGAAAGAAAGAAAGAAAGAAAGAAAAGAAAGAAAAGAAAAGAAAAGAAAGAAAGAAAAGAAAGAAAGAGAGAGAGAATAGGGGCTCCTTAGTGCTCTTTAAGCTGGATAGTTTTCTTGCAGACGTTTCGTGACCCAACTAGGTTACATCATCAGTGCTAGAAGGGAATAGGGTTTGCAGAAAGGAGGAGGAGGAAGAGGAAGGAAGGAGGAGGAGGAGGAGGAGAATAATAATAATAATAATAATAATAATAATAATAACAACAACAATGAGAAGGAGAAGGAGAAGGAGAAGAAGAAGAAGAAGAAGAAGAAGAAGAAGAAGAAGAAGAAGAAGAAGAAGAAGAAGAAGAAGAAGAAGAAGAAGAAGAAGAAGATAATGATGATGATGATGATGATGATAATAATGGCTCCTTGGTGCTCTTTGAGCTGGGTGGTTTCCTTGCAGACGTTTCATGACCCAACTAGGTTACATCATCAGTGCTCTTCAACTAATGAAACACTTGCAAGAAACCCCCCCAGCTCAGAGACCCCCAAGGACCCCCCCTCCATTATCATTCCTTTTTGGAGATCCGGCAAACGCCAGCATGGCCTCGTCTTCCCTAACCCCCAGCCTTTCCCTGGGGTGGCTGGGATCCATGGAGGTTGTAGTCCCTCCAAAGAAGGGCACCGCCAGAATGTCCCTCGCATCTGAAAACTCACCTCCTGCCGTTTGGCGAATGCCTGAGCGGTGGGAATTGTCTCCGCGGCAACAGACAAGGCTTAATCGATACGGGAAATTTATCGGTCAATTAATTCCTCGCTCCTGCTCCGTGGATCCTAGCGAGGGGAGGGGCCGGGGCTGGAAAACAGCCGGAGGAGCCAAGAAAACGGACCTGCTAAATTGCTGACCCCAAAAAAAAAAAAAGCTTTTAGGTCGGTTTTTGGAAGGCGGGTCCTCTTTGGAGGGTTAGGAAAAGGCTGAGAGGAATTACGGAGTGGGAAGGGACCTTGGAGGTCATCAAGTCCAACCCCTGTCGCCGATAGCACATGACTCCATGAAGTCACTGATTCTGCCCGGATTGCAGGTGGACTTCAACTCCCATCGCTCCTGGCTGGTGCTGTCAAGCTGGCTGGCTAGGGAATTCTGGGAGTTGAAGTCCACCAGTCTTAAAGGGGGGGCAGCCTGGCTCACCCAGCTTTCCTCTTCCCCCCCCCCTGCTTCCTCAGGCTCCAACCCCAAAGTGGGGGGTGTCCGTTTCTCCCCGACTCAGACGGTGGAGGGAAGCTCCAGCCACGTCCACTTTGATGAGAAGCTTCACGACTCCATGGTGATGGTCAGCCAGGAGAAGGACGGGGACTTCCTGGTCAAGGTGAGCCTGGGGGGGGGAGGGACCTGGGGAGGGGCTGGGTCCT